GTATTTTCTGGCCTGTGCAAAATTTCTGATATAAAAACTTCTGTCTCATTTTTTTTCTTTTCTGCAGTCTTCTGCTTTTATGCATTATGAAAACCTTTGTTTGAACATGGTCATGGTCAATTTTATGTAGATAAAAAGGTAAGTCCCATGGCCACAACAGGATCAACGTGCGCTTCCAAGGGGAATTTAATGTGGGATAGCAGTAACTTTACGTTGAAATGAGTCACTTTTGCAGAAATGTTGTTGCAAGTGGGCTTGTAATTTTAGGATGTACCATTGGCCTAGCTGCCAGTGCCAGTAATTTAATCAACCACACATCCTTATTTCCATCAGTTAGGTTAGGATGACCAATTTAGTATATGCAAATAACATAAAGTTAACAAAGATTAAGACACCTACAACATATCTTAACGTTACAGTCCTGGCCAAAAGTTTTGAGAATGACACAAATATTGATTTTCACAAAGTCTGCTGCTTTAGTGTGTATGATGGCAATTTGCATATAATCCAAAATGTTATGAAGAGTGATCAGATCAATTGCAAAGTCCCTCTTTGTCATGAAAATGAACTTAATCCTCCCAAAAAATGTCCCATGTATTTCAGCCCTGCCACAAAAGGACCAGCCGACATCATGTCAGTGATTCTCTCGTTAACACAGGTGTCACTAATGACGAGGACAAGGCTGGAGACCACTCTGTCATGCTGATTGAGTTAGAACAACAGACTGGAAGCTTTAGGGCAGGTTCACACCATTTTCTGGACCAGATCTGGAATGCACTGCATTGCGTTTTTGCTGCGTTTTTGACGCGTTAACTTTTAGGTCAGCAGCTCGATTCTCTCGTTAACAGTGCCAGTGTTGACGAGGACAAGCCTGGAGACCACTCTGTCATGCTTATTGAGTTAAAATAACAAACTGTAAGCTTTACAAGGAGGGTGGTGCTTGAAATCATTATTCTTCCTCTGTTAACCATGGCTACCTGCAAGGAAACACGTGCAGGCATCGTTGCTTTGCATAAAAAGGGATTCACAGGCAAGGATATTGCTGCTACTAAGATTGCACCTGAATCAACCATTTATCGGATCATCAAGAACTTCAAGGAGAGAGGTTCAGTTGTTGTATAGGGATTGGACTGCTGAGGACTGCGGTAAAGTCATTTTCTCTGATTGTTTGGGGCATCCGGAAAATACCTTGTCCGGAGAAGAAAAGGTGAGCGCTACCATCAGTCCTGTGTCATGCCAACAGTAAAGCATCCTGAGACCATTCATGTGTGGGGTTGCTTCTCAGCCAAGGGAGCGGGGAGCTCACTCACAATTTTGCCTCAGAACACAGCCAGGAATAAAGAATGGTACAAGAACATCCTTCAAGAGCAACTTCTCCCAACCAATCAAGAACAGTTTGGTGAGGAACAATGCCTTTTCCAGCATGATGGAGACCTTGCCATCAGGCAAAAGTGATAACTAAGTGGCTTAGGGAACAAGCCACTTAATCCCATTGAGAACTTGTGGTCAATCCTCAAGAGGCGGGTGAACTAAAAAAAAAAAACAAACCACAAATTCTGACAAACTCCAAGCATTGATTATGCAGGAATGGGCTGACATCAGTCATGATGTGGCCCAGAAGTTGATTGACAGCATGCCGGGGGGAATTGCAGAGGTCTTGAATAAGAAGGGTCAAGACTGCAAATATTGACTCTTTGCATAAACTTCATGTCATTGTCACTAAAAGCCTTTGACAATTGTGAAATGCTTGTAATTATACTTCAGTATACCAGAGTAACCGCTGACAAGAAGAATGATACAAATATTAATTTTCACATAGTCTGCTGCTTCAGTGTTTTGTGTCATTCTCAAAACTTTTGGCCAGGACTGTACAATCTGAAATACATGAACAAATTGATTGGTCAAATGCATTACAAACTGTTTTATACTCACCGGTTGCTTTCTATTGTGGCTTTGGAAGCAATCTCCTGGCAGGTCAGAGTCTTCAGTTTGTTTTCTTTGTGGTTTTGGTCATAAATTTCCAGGTGCTTCTGCACTAGGCTGACGAATACTTCAGTGCTGTATCAATCCATCAAGTGCTGCTTTTCTTGCTAATATTCTGCAGTCCTCTCCACACTTCACGCAGAATATGGCTGCTGTACAGGTCACAGGTGGAAACAAACTAGGTTGCTGTTTGGCCAATCTTGCAATGGCAACAAATGCCATTATGTTTTTTCCAGTGCAAATCAACACAGGGCTTTTGTGTGAAATGACACCATTGAAAACAATAGTTTTGGGCCCGCCTTTGCATTGGGACAGAGTTGAGCAATGCAGCATCCTTCAGATACCACCTTTAATAAACTGCAGGCCTTACTGGATGACGTTTCTCTTTTGGGTGTTTGAAGAACCTTACATTCAAATGTTATTCTGCTCCTCATAATAATCTGTAAATTCTCTGCTGGCTGTCAATCTCCAGAAGTGGGTTATCTTCCTTTTCTTTGTCTGAGCAGCAGGAAACATTTCTCCTGGCCTTGTACCACAGCTCCCATAATGAAACATCCCCTTTTCCGGTAACAGAATTCTAGAACAAAAGACTTTTGCAACTGACTGGACTCTGTTCTTTATTATAAATGGAGGTGTTCATACTTTGGCAGTGTGAGAGGTATTTAAAATGCATGTCAGGAAAAAATAACCATCGTCCATTAACACCATTAAAAAAGATACTGCTTGTTTGGAGATACAGCTTGAGGAGGACCAGCTAGCAGCAGAACATTGTATATCTACTTCTAGTGTAGCAAATTGCTTATTTCCACAATTTCCATCTTACTATATAATTCCACTCTTCAGTTCTCATCAAATGAATGAGTTTGGTTGGCATTGACCAACCCAGTTGTATTCCTGGTAGCTCTACTATTAAGGCAGAATCAAACCATGGTAGATATGTCATCTGGGATGGCTACTGCTACTGTCAAAGGTCTTGTGCATCTGTTCCTGTGCAGATGTGTAAGTTCAGATGAGCATGACGCAGCCTCGTCCTATCATTGAGGGTTAGTTCACACCAGAAACTGCATCACAAATGTGTGCGTCTGCGCAGTTGCATTGCAATCAGTTTTGATGCGTTTTGACGTATTTGTGATGTGTTCCGATGTGTTTTTTATTCTAAAAATGTTAAATGCACCCTGTTCAGAACAGAAAAATCAGGGTATAATTTGGCAGTCATCTCCCTCCACTTTCCCATCTTCTGCCGATTGTTTTTATAGTTGGGATGCTTGGGATAATAGAGCAGTGGACACTCCTCCACATATTTTATGAAGATGTCAGCATCCACATCAGCCATGGCTCCACTATCTCTTTTACCTACAAAGAGGAAGTCCCTGGATGATGACACAATCAATTCTGTGCGTTTTTTTAATGCGTTCCGTTGCGTTTTGATGCGTTCCGATGCAGCTAAAATAGGAAGAGCAGTATTTTTTCTGACTGCATCTAAACGGACTGCAATGGTGTGAATACAGCACAAGAAAGCCCATAGGAAAGCATTGTGATGTATTTTGGCTGCAGCAGCCAAACTGAACGGACTGCATCACAACTGCATATGGTGTGAACTGGCCCTGAGATGTACAGGCGGCTGCACACACCAGCTGTCATTCCCGGGCGCAGGTCCCTGCACAGACGTGCACGCTGTATGGTCAGTGTGAATGAGGCCTTACAGTGCAAATGCATGACAACTATTTACTGTATTCTGGACAAACTTCTTATACGCCATAACCATTTATTGGTATAACAATGTGTATGATAACTTGGTTACATATTTATATCTTTTGAAGCCACTGGCTCGGAATCGGATGATATAACATTAACAGAAATGAAGTATAAACATTCATAAAACATGCTATTCGGTGCTTCCACTTGTTGACAACAATCCAGAGAAAGATTTTCATGCATATTTATGGTTTTGTGTGTTCACTAAATCATACTTTTAGGACTGACTCATTATTATTTTGTTGCATTAAGCATGTTCTTAAAACAAAACAGTGATTTGCAAAGCAAAACTGGTTTGCTTCAATGTCCAACTCCCCAACTATTTACCTTTTCTTTGTTACCCTGTTGCTATATTCAGGCACAGGAAGAAAAGATAATCCTCTGTCCCTCCAGGTATGGACCGACTTAGGGACCGTTCACACCATATGCAGTGCGTTCTGGCCGGAACGCACTGAATCGCATTGCGACCCGGCACACAATTTCGTGGGGCCGGAGGGGGCCATTGAATGAATGGCACCGTAGCCACTCCCTCCAGCCGCAATGCAATTGCCCGCACTGGATTGCAATTTACATTGTGCCTGCAGTTCGGTGCAATCAAAATAGTGCTTGCAGAGTTTTGATCGCACCGGACCGCAGGCACAATGGGGGGAATTTATCAAAACTGGAGCAGACAAAATCTGGAGCAGATTTGCACGGCAACCAATCAGCTTCTCTTTCTAATTTTCAAATCTTACCTGAACAAACTGAAGAGAGAAGCTGATTGGTTACTATGGGCAACTGCCCCAGATTCTTCTGCTCCAGTTTTGATAAATTCCCCCCATTCTGCCTTGCGATCCTGTGCGGGCGATAGCATTGCGGCCAGGGGTTGCTAAGGTGTCATTCACTTCAATGCCCCCCCCCCCCCCGAAATAGTGAGCCGACCGCAATGCGATGCAGTGCGTTACGGTCAGAATCGGGCCGGAATGCACTGCATATAGTGTGAACGGGCCCTTAATCTGCGTGACAACGCTATGCCGATCATCAAGCATCACACTGACACATAGGGGAGAGTAAATAGTCCTGAGTGGGCTACAAATAAAGTGGCCTTAGCTTACACAAGAATGCATTTCCTTTTCCCTGAAACCAAATAAGCAAGCCTGCTCATTTCCTAATGTTTCATCCTTGGCCACTGATTTGAGTTTTTCATGCAGTGAAAGTTTTTTTGTCAAATAAATCATTACAATATTCAACCAAATTAACAAATAAATTATACAAAATCTTACCCTGGTTTTCATCATACTTTGTACTGTATTGCTGTCTGCTTTCATATGAAGATTCTGGTAAAACAAATAAATAAATAAATGCCATGATTACTGTAGATGTCACCAACAGACATAAGGAAAGGTGAGGTAAATAAACTGTCTGCAGTACCCGAAGCATCCAAATGCCAGTTCTCATCTTCTGGCTGGTTGTTCTATATTATTCTGCTTTAGTTTTTATAGATATGTTACAATACATTATTCTGCTTGGACAATGTTAAAAGGAGAACTATGGGGGTCAGTGTTTTTCCCCATAGTTCTCCTAAGGGTCACAGGAGGACATGAACTAGCATCCTCCCGTCACCCAAAGCTCAGTACAGATGTTCCTCACTTACCGACTTACCTGTTTTGCGACCACTCGCACTTACGCGGACCGCCGATCGACCTCCGACCTTGCGCCAGTGCGACGTGTTGCCGGCGGAAGTGACATCCTCCAATCTTCACTGCGGGTCCCGGTAAGTATTTCCATTGCCCGATGTACAGTACACTGTTCGGTACTGTACATCGGCAATGCTATACAGTACTGTACTAATGCAGTACAGTACTGTATAGAGTTCCTCACTTAACGACCAATCCGTTTAACGACCTGGTCGTAGGAACGGAACTCGGTCGTTAAGTGAGGAATACCTGTATATCGCGAGCTACAGCTCGAGGTATACTGAGACCGCCGCAGTCGGGACGGATCCCGACAATGCTGTCGAGATCCACCCAGCTGCGTGAGTGACAGCTGGCTCTGCCTATCCAGAGGCAGAGCCAGCTGTACCCACCCCCTCCTGTTCCTCCAATCAGCGCTGGAGGATCGGAGAGGGGGGAATCCCTGCAGGGAGCCGTGAGTGACAGTCACGGCTCTCTGCAGGGAGATGATCGGGAAGTGAGCGAGCGACGGTATGTGTTTGCTCACTTTCCGATCTATTGAGCCGACGTGCGACAGTTTCATTGTCAAACAGTAGAAAGGTATCATGGCACACAGTTTCATTGTCACACGTCGGCTCGTACCATAAGGATGAGTGATTTTCTCAAATGGAAGAAGAACCAGGACTGTTCCAAGAGCTGGTCGTCCGGCCAAACTGTGCAATCGGGGGAGAAGGGCCTTAGTAAGAGAGGTGACCAAAAACCCGATGGTCACTGTGACTGAGCTCCAGAGATCCTGTGCGGAGACGGGACAAAGTTCCAGAACTCAGACTATAAGGCACAAGATTCTCTGGTCTGATGAAACCAAGATTGAACTGTTTGGCCTCAATTCTAAACGTTATGTCTGGAGGAAACCGTGCACCGCTCATCACCTGTCCAATACCATCCCAACAGTGAAGCATGGTGGTGGCAGCATCATGCTGTGGGGGTGTTTTTCAGCAGCAGAGACTGGTCAGGGTTGAGGTAAAGCTGAATGGAGCAAAGTACAGAGATATCCTCAATGAAAACCTGTTCCACAGTGCTCAGGACCTCAGACTGGGCCGAAGGTTCACCGTCCAATATGACAACAATCCTAAGCACACAGCCAAGACAACACAGGGGGGGCTTAGGGACTACTCTGTGAATGTCCTCGAGTGGCCCAGCCAGAGCCCTGATTTGAACATCTCTGGAGAGACCTGAAAATGGCTCTCCACCGACCGTCCCCATCCAGCCTGACTTAGCTTGAGAGGATTTGCAAAGAAGAATGGCAGAAAATCCCCCAATCCAGGTGTGCAAAGCTCGTCACGTCATACCCAAAAAGACTCGAGGCTGTCATTGCCACCAGAGGTGCTTCACCAAAGTACTGAATAAAGGGTCTGAATACTTAAGTACATGTGATACTTCAGTTTTTTTTCTTTTAATAAATTCACAGACATTTCTAAAATTCTGTTTTCACTTTGTCATTACGGGGTACTGAGTGTAGATTAATGAGAATAAAAAAAGAATTTAAACAGCTGTAGTATCAGGCTGCAACATAACTACAAAGGGAAGGGGGTCGGAGTACTTTCTGAATGCAGTGTGTATTCAGTCCTTTTCCTTACCTGCAGAGCCTGTCTTCTTCTTGCGTTCAAACTCATAAAGTCTCTTCTCATACAACGTGCGAGTGGAGTCTATAAAAGAGGAAAATAAACAATGGTATGAGATATAAATACTGTTATAGAAGGGAGAGGCAATTCTCAAGAACCATGTAGTCCAAGTGCCCATTATCGGCAATTGAAGAAATTGTTTTCTGCTTCTGTAAAAGAATGCTGGTTGGCGCCTACATTGTATAAGGTGAATCCTGAATGCTGGTTGGCGCCTACATTGTATAAGGTGAATCCTGAATGCTGGTTGGCGCCTACATTGTATAAGGTGAATCCTGAATGCTGGTTGGTGCCTACATTGTATAATGTGAACCCTGAATGCTGGTTGGCGCCTACATTGTATAATGTGAACCCTGAATGCTGGTTGGCACCTACATTGTATAATGTGAACCCTGAATGCTGGTTGGCACCTACATTGTATAAGGTGAATCCTGAATGCTGGTTGGTGCCTACATTGTATAATGTGAATCCTGAATGCTGGTTGGCACCTACGTTGTATAATGTGAATCCTAAATGCTGGTTGGCGCCTACATTGTATAATGTGAATCCTGAATGCTGGTTGGCACCTACGTTGTATAATGTGAATCCTGAATGCTGGTTGGCACCTACGTTTACACAGTATCTCACAGAAGTGAGTACACCCCTCACATTTTTGTAAATATTTTATTATATAATTTCATGTGACGACACAGAAGAAATGACACTTTGCTGCAATGTAAAGCAGTGAGTGTACAGCTTGTATATCAGTGTACATTTGCTGTCCCCTCAAAATAACTCAACACACAGCCATTAATGTCTAAACCGCTGGCAACAAAAGTGAGTACACCCCTAAGTAAAAAAGTCCAAATTGGGCCCAAAGTGTCAATATTGTGTGTGGCCACCATTATTTTCCAGCACTGCCTTAACCCTCTTGGGCTGAAAGAACTGGAAGGATTTATGACTGCTTTAGCTATACCAAGCTTGAACATGCTGAGAAGTCTTTTGTCTCCTTGAATAAAGCTGAAATACTGTGGCAATCCCAGCGCTCTGCCAATGACCACATTCCTGATGTTTCGATATTTTGTACCAGTCGGGTCATTTTTCCAAGCGGGATGAGTCTAATAATGATCTTACCACCTATGTTATGTGAGGCTGATTTCCAGACCAGGTATATATGTGTATGTGTGTTAAGAAGGAACTCTTTGCTACCAAACTATGCAGTATATTATGTTTTCTTAAATTGTGTGTACAGCCAAAGTTCTTGGTTTCCTGTCCTGCTGATCTGTCACAAGACAGGAATGAGGGCAACTCTCCAAAAGCAACACAGACAAAAATAAAAATCCTTTATCTATAGTAGAGTAGGGGAAAGGCTAGAACCCATCAGATTTGTATTACTGTCGGTGCCTCTGTTGCAGATGTTTCCTCATTTCCTCTATGGTCACACTGTTGTCAGCAAGCAAGGAAGTGAGGGTAAATCTTACCATGGACACCCCCCGGATAACAGTAAAAACCAAACAGGAGTTCTAATACTTACTCTATCCTAAACTAAAGAAAAAAAAAAAAGTTTTGCCTTGAAACACACTTTAAGGCCTTGTTTACACCAAAGCGGCATCTTTTTTGTATGTTTGTACTATAATAGTGATTTATCATTTGCAGTTGTCAGCAGCAATAAATCACTCTTCCAGTGATCAGCTCTGTCCCGTCTTTTAAAAGCAGATGAACTCAGATGACATGACTATGATGTCCAATGTGATGTCAAGGCATTTCCCCTTTAAAGGAGAACTACGAGGTGAGTGCTTTTCACTCACCTCATAGTTCTATCCGACCTGTGACAATGAGACGGTCACAGGTCGGCTCAGTAGATCGGGAGGTGAGCGAACACATACCGGCGTTCGCTCACCTCTCGATCCTGTCACGGTTCTCTGCCGTGACAGGGGAGGGGCTGGATTCCCCCCTCCGCCAGCGCTGACTGGCGGAACGGATGTGGGGAGGGTACAGCTGGCTCTGCCTCTAGATAGGCAGAGCCAGCTGTCACTCACGCAGCTGGGCGGATCCAGACATAATTGTCGGGATCCGTTTCAGCAGCGGCGTCTCAGTATACCGCGAGCTACAGCTCGCGGTATACTGAGCTTAGGGTGACGGGAGGACGCTAGTTTTTGTCCTCCTGTTATCCTAAGGAGAACTATGGGGAAAAGCCTTAACCCCATAGTTTTCCTTTAACACAATGCAAAACCATGGTGTTATGCTACACAGCACTCTTATTAAGTGCTCTTTGGCATAAACCCTGATAAGTTTATTGTGGCTGGATTTGGGCTTAAAGCCTTGGTTCTCAACTGGTGGGTCGTGACCCCAAGTTCAGTGGGTCGCCACATGCCTTTCACTTTTCTAGATGGGACACTCCTCAGCCTCCCCCTAGCGCAGCACTGTCAGTTCTTAGTGGGGTGGGCTGGAAGTATGGCCATAAGGGAGCTCCATCCATATGTGTATTGCTTACAGCTCCCACATGTGCCATGCAGAGGTGCTTGGACCGGAGTGACGTCACATTCTGGCTCTTGGCACCTCTACAGGGCGCACAAGGATGCTGTACAAGCAATGCACATATGGATGGAGCTCCATCAGAGCACGGCAGTCCACACTGGACCCCAGGCTAATGATCCACTTAAGTACTCATAAAGTAGGGAGACTGGGTGGATCTTAAAAAAAGAAAAAATATATATAATTGTTTTTGGAGTGTGTGAGATTGTGTCTGTCTGTGTTTTTGAGGGTCCGTTCACACTAGTACAGTGCCTTAATCGCGATTACTGCATCACGCAATCGATGTGTTGCGTTGCCATTCATTTGAATGACACCCCAAACGCACCTCCTGCCCACAGTCCGATCACCTGCACACAAACACCATTGCAGTGTGACTTGGGTCGCAACTTAATGACCAAGGACAAATGTGGGTCCTGAGGTTATATACAGGTTGAGAATCACTGGCTTAAAAGGAAATATATTGTATATAGGTATACAGGAAGTCCCCGAGTTTCAAACATCGGACTTACATACGACCCCTACTTACAAACGGAGGCTAATACTGTACAGCAGGGGGTCCCAGGCTGCAGCCAAAGTGTACCGCGCAGCATTTCAGTCGTTGTAATGCTACCGCGCTCGTGCTGATGAGGAGTGCCGCCTTTTTGGGTCTGGTTCATAGTACTGTACGTACATTACAGGAGGTTGGCTCTTGTTACACGTGCAGACGAGGGGTGTCCACCTCTTCTTCTGGGTCACTGTGAGGTTTTTACTGCTGGCTGTATCCTCATTAGGAAGATTTCAGCTTACTTCCTGTCCTTGAGACAACAGGAAGTGAGAGCAAATCTACCCTTAGGAAGGGGAATTCACTCCTGTAAGAGTTATCATGGGAAAAAGGTGTCTCCACTGAAGCTTTATCAGCAATCCTTGTTTCCAATTTTCAAAATCCAATTGTCACAGGGACAGAAAGTGAGGTGAAATCTTCGGAACAGGGGCACACACAACAAAACAAACTATACAGGGGGTTAACCCGTCCCTATGCTATCCACTAAAAAAAAATGTACCTGTTCCAACTTACATACAAATTCACCTTACGAACAAACCTACAGAACCTATCTTGTTCGTAACCCGGAGACTGTCTGTATATAGATTAGGGTCTGGAACTCACTGCCTCAAGCGGTAATTTCCGCAATTAATCTGGAATCATTCAAGAGGCTTTTGGACGACTTCCTGAGAGACCGAAATGTACAAGGGTACAGGTACTCTTAAGAATGAGAACACTCATGGACCTATATACACACACACACACAACAGGTTGGACTTGATGGACTTATGTCTTTATTCAACCTCAAATACTATGTAACTAAGATTCCCATCGATAGCTAGAATAGGTTTCAAAAGCATGTGGAAGTTGTGGCAGAGTGGGGATATGCTTCACAAGACAGTCATAGACTGGAGATACATTACATGAGACTGGTGGGGAGATTTACTCTAGCTTCCTGTCCCAATGACAAAGTGTCATGCGGACAGGAAGTGCTGGGCTTCCTCTCAGATGGGGACAGAACCTGAAACAAAAACACATTTGTACATTTGTCAGGTTTCTATTGCAGTGTCTTCCTGTCGTGGTGACGCAGACACTCATTTCTTCCTGGTGTCACTGGTACCGGAAGTGAGGGGAATCTCTACAATGAGGTCACTCCCTTATCAACTCCTCCCATGCTCGCCTCCAGGACTTCTCTAGAGTCTCTCCCATCCTCTGGAACTCTTTACCCCAACATGTCCGTCTGTTGCCCACCTCGACTTCCTTTAGGCGTTCCCTAAAGACTCATCTCTTCAGGAAAGCCTATCCCACCTCAACCTAACCGCTCAACCATCACGTTCTCAAACAAATCATCCCCACACAGCTACCTCCTCATGTATCACTTCCCCCTCCCTTTTAGATTGTAAGCCCTCATGGGCAGGGCCCTCCTTACCATCTTGTCTTGTATTGTATTTGTGATTTTGTGGTGTCTTCCCTTATAAATGTTAAAGTTCACAACTGGAGGAGATACAAAATTAACATACCAACAATAGGCCCATGCTGGATGCCGTAATCCTGCAGGAGTTTTATGAGCTCTGCATTTGTCAGGTTCTTCAACTTATCCATGCTTGGCAATATCTATGAATAAAATGAAAAACAAATTATTAGTTGCTGACATTTTTTTCCCCATTATGCACATTGCTGTTTTTCACGCTAGTGCTGAGGAACCGTTTATAACATCTGTAGAGAGAAAATGAGGAAAGAGCGTTTATTGCGACGCGATTGTTTGTTTCATTTTCCCAGAGAGTAAAACTCCCAATATTATTTTTGTCCAGTTTTATGAATAAGGCTTTTATGATTGTGTACAAGTTATAAGTGACCCGTGCCGCGAACTCTCATTTCTGCTTAGGTGCCAAGATTCCCACATATTATCTAAAGCAGGGCTGGACAGATCTCAGGTAGCCAATGCTGCTTAAAATTTACAGCGGACAGCTAACTTTTGGGGTTTTCTCTAGCAGTTGTCAATGGAGCAGGCGCCTGGATTGGACACTGTCTCCGGAATTCCATGTCGATCTGCCCACGCCTGATCTAAACTACCCCACATACTGCATGGTTGTTTGCAGTACCCTCTGAAAAGCAAACAGCAAACAACAGGTATTTTATGTGCATATGCAATGCTCAGTAGGAAGGAGTCACCAAGTTCCTTTGACTCTGCAAAGTAAATATACACAACCAGGGGTGTGGAATTCATATCGCGCCAATGCCCGGCACATGCAGTTCATAACAAGGAATTACCCGATCAAATCTGGCCCCATCTCCCCCCCATCTCTGCAGCAGCACGTTCTTGCCCTAAAGAGCTTTAGAAATGTAGATTGGCGGTGGAGGGGTGACAGAAGTAGCGGTAGCTTATTTATCACTACCGGGCTGGTCTAAATAATGCTCACACTGACGACTGGTGCCCATTCCAGGGAAACAGTGCTCCTTTGCATATTTCTTGTAGCTTGAAAGATGCATTGCCTGAGACAGTAGCAAACACACCAGACAGGTTAGTCTTGTGGCAGACTAATTAACGGCCTGTTCACATGATATCAGGTCCTGATCAGGTGCGGATCTGCAGACTGATGCAGTGCGTTTTTGATGCACTCCAGTACAAAAAAAATAAATATTTTTTTTGCTGGAGTGGGGCTGTCAGTATGTTAGCTGCAGTGCAGTGCGTTTTTGATGCGTTTTGCGTCTCCGGACCGGGCGAAATGCGACATGCAGTATTTTTTCTGTCGTAAGCTGAACAAACCGCGCACGTGAGAACTGTAGCCCATAAAACACATAGGGATACATTGGGATGCATTTTCAGCACAGGAGCGTACGGATCAGGTCAGCACAGAAAATGGACGTCATGTGAACAGGCCCTAAAGGGACAGCAAGATTAAAGTGAACAAAGTATAGTTAATGTGTCCTGGTGACCATTTTGAGTACCAGAACAGCGATAGAGGAGAAACCTTGCAATGGGGACGCTTGTTCTGGTGAAAACTGACTTAGGTGGCATGTCTCCCACTTTGGAGAGATTTTCTCTCAATTCCTATTGTGTCTTCAAGCCAGGAAACAAAGAGAAATCTCTCCAGTGGGATACAGGAGGGAAAGAAGCCTAACAGGGTTTTTAACTAGAGGTGCGCCAAAATGAAAATTTTAAACCGAAACTAAAAAAAATATTTTTTCAGAAATATAATTCTTATTCATTTTTTATAAACTTTTTAAATATATTGTATTTATTTATTAACTTGGAAACATAGTATCTTTAATATAACCACAATCATGAATGAACTGGAAGTGATGTAGATCACTTCCTATTCATTCATAACTGGTACACAGTAACTCATACTATGTCCAGTTATTTACAAACACTCAGCAATCATTGATCGCTGACTGCTTGTACGGCTCTCCATCCTGACTCGGTCACAGGAGGGTGAGCCAGCAGGGAGAAGAGCTCGGTCTATTTTGACAGTTGACTCCTCCCCCTCACCACTGGCTTGGGCTCCTGTGACAGCGCACTTCTGTCTCTGCCCCCACATCGCTCTCCATCCTGAGGGTGCGGGAGCAGAGTCCGGCCTCCTGTGACATCACAGCTCTCAGCGCTCTCCTCCCCCGCGACGCTCAACCTCCTCTGACAGTTTCTCTCCTCCCTGCTGGACGCTGCACTGTGTCAGAGGGAACACATAATAGCACCCAGCGGGGAGGAGAGAAACTAGCCATGCACGGAAATGTCGGCCGAAAGATGGCACTTTCGGCATTTTGCCAAAAGTGCCATTTTTGGCCGATATGTTTGGGCGGCCGAAATTTCAGTGCATCCCTAGTTTTAACCATTCCCTACTCTGTCCATAAAAAAAAAAAAAAAAAACTTCTAGTGAAAAAAAAAAAAGCCTGAAGTTCAAACAAAAGCTATAGAATGTATGAATAAACACCAGTCTGAGTCACCTTATCCACAAAGACCCTTATTCCAGGTGACAGGGTCTGGATAATATTTGTAGAGCTATTCAATTAGCCTCAATCTCCTGTTACCATTCTCTGGCAACCACAAGCCATTTGATGCCATGGTGTTGATTGACTAAAGACAAATAGTCTGTTCACTTTGCAAAGGAATATTCCCTTAGCTTAGTGAATGAGGCGAAGCTCTGCTGACTTCCATCACCCAATTGAGGGGAATCAAAAGTACTATTGCATTTTTTTTTATATTTACCTTGGTTGGGTATTCTTTGCAAAGTGAATTTTAACCACATTCACTAAGCTAAGGGAAAATCTCCTTACAAAGTGAACTGACTATTTCCCCTTAGTAAGTAAACCCCTATATCTTTACAGCCAATCCTGCGGTAGGGACTTACCTTAAATGATGCCTCTTGATCTGATCCCCTTCTTTCCTATCCTTTTCAGCTGTCCCTCCAGCGCTAGTCCCGGTCTTCCGATCCATCGCTGACTCCTCTGTCCTCCTCTTCTCTGATGTCCCACGGGTGCACGCTGCTCCATAGACTTACCTTGTGTCTCTCCTCGTCTCCCGGCCGAACATCTAAACTGCGCAGGCGCCCGCCACAAGATCCTTTGCGGCCGCCCGAGACTCTTCAGATGTTCGGACGGGAGCGCGCGGTGAAGACACAGGTAATATATATATATATATAGAAAAAGCATGCGAGGGTTTAATAACCCTTTAAATTGGCAGGTAATAACCACAAACTGATGCTCTTTGCAAATATAATCCCTTTTAACTCTTACACCTCCATTCCTTGCCTTCTCTCCACCCTCCAGAGATCTATCCAATTCCGTTTTGGGTTCCGGCCTCCACAAGACCACTAAATATCTCTTCAATACTACAAAACTTGTTAAACGTCTGGGACTTCGTCTGAAACTTGGGCATCTCACCATACCTACCTAATAGGCTGTCTTGATTCCTGCCTTGTATGACATAACCGGACAAATTTTGCTGGTGGATAACACATGGCTACCCCACAGTCTACTCACTTAATGGAGTTATACCTTTCTAGTGCTTGAAAGATCACAAAAAAATCCCCTACCTACAAAGTCAATGCTATGTGGACCCCCCTATGCTTCGACCTGGGCGAGGAAACTGAAATGCTCTCAAACCAGGGATCAGTGTGTAGAAGCCGGACTCCCGCGGCCTGTAGCTCCATTAATATACAATCTTTGGAGAGTTTCTGTAAAGTTAACTATTGTTGGTACCGTACTCTGGTTAGATTCTCCGAATATGCACCCTCCTATTTTTCTGTATGAAGGCACCATCCTTCATACCTTGTGGACATGCCCTCAGGCCCTGTGTTTAAGGTCTAAAGTATGCTGATATATGTATACCATTCTACAGCTCCATCTACAACCAGACCCCAGGGAAGCTTTGTCATGCCACGAGATATCAAACATGTAAATGAATCTTACATAATTGCATCAGAGACAATTGCTAAAGCATGGAAAACCCCTGTACAGAGATTTGGGGAAGTAATGGCTAAACTTGGTGACGTCTCTCTCAATGAGAAACTCCCTGCTATCCTTGCATATAAACACGTCAAATTCCTAACAGCCTGGCAACTCTGGATTGACTATACCTACCCTACCAAATCTGACACCAGGTTTCTACACCTTTAGTTCCAGCATTCTGATTGGACACCACTGGGTTTCCTGTGGAGAGACCTGTATCCAGGTCTCCCTTTTTTTTTTTCTTCTCTGAACCCCCCCTCCTTTCCTCTTTGCCACATCCACCTTCTTTCTTTGTTTCCTTTATATTCTCTGAGATCTTCTCTAACACCTCTTCCCTAGTCTACACCCAAACACCACAGGTGCCTTCTCACTACATCACTCCCTCCTGCCTAGACTTCTCTTGAGAAACTTTAGGTACCCTGATGAGGAAGTGCACCATGGAGGACATATATACAGGTGAAACTCGAATAATTAGAATATCGTGCAAAGTTCATTTATTTCACTAATGCAACTTAAAAGGTGAAACTAATATATGAGATAGACTCATTACACGCAAAGCAAGATAGTTCAAGCCGTGATTTGTCATCATTGTGATGATTATGGCTTGCAGGTCATGAAAACCCCAAGAACCCCAAATCCACAACCTCAAAAAAGTAGATTATTACATGCAATCAATAAAACAAGGATTGTACATAGAACAATATCGGACCTCTGAAAAGTACAAGCATGCATATGTACTCAGTACTTGGTTTGGGCCCCTTTTGCAGCACTTACTGCAATTACTTTTGCACAATATTCTAATTATTCGAGTTTCACCTGTATATATCCCCAATGTATTTGTGCCAAACGTTCTCTTTACTGCCTACATCGTACTTTCCATGCTTGCCATATTTCACAAATCGAATATTGTTCTATGAGTATTGTACTGCTTGTTATTCTTATTTGCAATGCCCAGTTGGACACCCCCTGTATCTCGATATGTTCAATAAATGACATGTAAAACCAAAAGCCATAGAGTGTACGGCTAGTGGCCTCGTCAACTAGATTCGGTCTGAAGGCTGGAATGAAATTCGGGTATAAACCAGGTAAAGACATCCCAGGGACACCAAAACAAAAGGTGTGCAAAGTTTTCCAGTTCTGAACGTCAGGGCCTACCTTCGTCCTATCACTGAACGCCTAAAACTGCCCACACACCTTGCGATCATCAGACAAAACTTTCCGTCCGATGATCGAACCGTCATATGATTTTCGTACGGCAGCCCCATCTTGCCCCGATTATCGCAAGGTTGCATCAGCGGTAATTAGAAGAAAGCACCTGGACGAATTGCGGTTATCGACCGCACGTGTTTTCGTCTGCGCGTGTGCAGTGTAAATCGTACGAATTTCGACGTACGGAAACGGCACCAACCTTGCGAAAATCGTACGAGCGACCGAAGTTTTATAACCTGCTGGATAGTCAAAAGTCGATCGATTGTACAGTATTTGAGGTTGTACACTGCCCATCAACCTCATGAATATCGGATGAAGACGCGATCGCATGCAAAAATCGTCCGATATTCGTAAGGTGTATGGGCAGCTTTAAATTCTGTGTTAAAGAATACAAGACATTTATGAATGGAGAAAGGTAGAGAGCGATTGGCGCTCTTCTTGGCTATACAAGAAACAAAACTGTGATTTACAGCTCCGGAGGTCAGTAGTTGCAGGGATGAGTGACCACATGAGTTTTACCCAACGCTGCGCCATTCACACATGGACCACCTATCATTAGAGGTAATTCATTGGCACATGGCTAATGTCAAAAGATATTCCCCCCCTCTAGAGTTCTGATATAAAACAATCCTGAAACTGCCATGTGTGGTGACCATCTATTCCAGGGGTAGCCAACCTTCGGCCCTCCAGTTGTGATCAAACTACAAATCCCATAAGGCACTGCAAGACTCTGACAGTGACAGGCATGACTCAAAGAGGCTGATGCATGATTGGATTTGTAGTTTTACCACGGCTGGAGGGCTCTGACAGTGAAATGTCCCTTGGCATCCTCACATGTAATACACTGCATTAATATCAGTGTCAGTTGAGGTCCGTAATTTGAGACGGATCAGCTCTCCGCTTTGACTGACTGGGACCGATGTAACCTGATATAACTTGATGATCAGTTTACATCAGTTCAGATTACGTCTGTTTTTTGGGACTGATGTCATGATACAGCATGGAAAGTACGGCTGCAACAACTAATCAATAAATTTGAACATGCAGTTGGGACTCCTAAACTGCCACCACCATGCCTGAGCCGCCTCCTTTTCCAGATGCCACCCAAAGTCTTGGTGATTGCAGACTGACTGTTCGGGGACTATTCCCGTTCAGGACCAGCGACACCCCTATCCCCCCCCCCCCCCCCCCCCCTGCCTCAGCCGCTTCCTGCGGATGTCACCCGTCCCGGTGATCGCAGACTGACCGTTCGGAGACTATTGCCGTTCAGGACCCGCGGCCCCTCCCATGCCTCAGCCGCCTTCAGGGACTGTTCCCGTTCAGGACCCACGGCCTCCCATCTTTCACTACAATCAGTGTAAGTAGTGTGTACTATGTGTTGTATATGTGCTCTATGTGTGTGTACTATGTGTGTATTATGTGTGCCGTGTGTGTATTATGTGTTGTATGTGTTCTGTGTGCATATTATGGTTTTTATGTGTGCATTATGTGTTGTATGTGCGCCCTGTGTGTATTATGTGTTGCAGGTGTGCCGTGTGTGCGCGCACCGATTGTGAAGACAGAGGTAGCTGCTACGGGCACAACTATGGGGGTGTGCCAGCCGGGCAGTGAACACATTTAGGGCCAGTTCACACCATCTCCAGTGCGTTCTGGCACGGTTAGTGGCCGGAACGCACTGGATAGCCAAGTGGAACCCTCCCTGCGTTCCAGGATGGGGCGTGGCGCTGCAATTCACAATTTGTTTGTAATCCCACCGGAACGCAGGCATTGCTGTACCAAGCGTTCTGGTGCAGGAGATCGCACTGCGGGTGGGGGTGTGTCTGTGCTGCCATTGACTTGAATTGCACGCCCCCTTCTGCCCCAGAACGCAAGGAGGATTCCACTATGTGATCCAGTGCGTTCCGACCACTAACCGTGCCGAAAAGCACTGGGGATGGTGTGGACTGTCCCCAAAGCACATGCAGCCGCGTGCAACAAAGGAAAGTGGCAGCGATTGGAGCTTCACATGCAGTATGTCTAGCAATATCTGTGCTCAGCTAGACGAGAGCGGAGTGTAGCAAGATGAAAAATGTCATCTTTAGCCAATCGGCTCACACATATGAATACGCGCGTCAGGATGCAGATTCAATCGGATTCCCCCAGAAAAGGCGTCTGGTGAGAGAAGTATGCTCGGTAATGTTTCCCTTCCGGCACAAGTTCTTTTTGGGATATATGCCAGGGATGAGAGCAATGTAGAAAGAGTTAATATTATATGCCCACTAAATAAGTCATATAATATAACTAATAATAGTTAATATTTAATTAAATAGTTTCATACATTTTTTTAATTCGATTAATCGAACAACTAATCGGCCAGCGAATCGATTATGAAAATAATTGTTAGTTGCAGCCCTAATGGCAAGCTCAAAGCATGCCGGGGGAAAGCAAAGAATCATGGGAACTTACCATAGTCAAAAGTCCAAAACTGATGTAAACTGAACTGACAACGGATGTGCACGCTGATGTAAACGGATCCAGCTTTTTTTCGATCCGTGAACCTTGACTGAACTGAACTTGTGTGAAAGGGGCCTAAGGCGGGTCATTAGACCGCCAATGCCCGGAGTTTTTCTTTAATAGGTCAGTTCACCAAAAATAAGTACATATGCATTCCAGCTTCTGCAGTATATTAAAAGGCAGAAGCAAGACTCCAGCACACAAAAGGGATCCTTTAAAATCTTTTAGAGTTTACTGCACAATGGCAAAATAAAAACCGCTTTAGGCCCCATTCACACCTGAGCACGGCGGGAACATGCACCTCCATTGATTTCAATGGGTGTATACACTATATCGACAAAAGTATTGGGACGCCTTTACACGCACACATGAACTTTAATGGCATCCCAGTCTTAGTCCGTAGGGTTCAGTATTGAGTTGGCTCCGCCCTTTGCAGCTATAACAGCTTCAACTCTTCTGGGAAGGCGTCCACAAGGTTTAGGAGTGTGTCTATGGGAATGTTGGACCATTTGTGAGGTCAGGTACTGATGTTGGACGAGAAGGCCGGGCTCGCAGTCTCCGCTCTAATTCATCCCAAAGGTGTTCTATCGGGTTGAGGTCAGGACTCTGTGCAGGCCAGTCAAGTTCCTCCACCCCAAACTCGCTCATCCATGTCTTTATGGACCTTGCTTTGTGCACTGGTGCGCAGTCATGTTGGAACAGGAAGGGGCCATCCCCAAACTGTTCCCACAAAGTTGGGAGCATGAAATTGTCCAAAATGTCTTGGTATGCTGATGCCTTAAGAGTTCCCTTCACTGGAATTAAGGGGCCAAGCCCAACCCCTGAAAAACAACCCCACACCATAATCCCCCCTCCACCAAACTTTACACTTGGCACAATGCAGTCAGGCAAGTATCGTTCTCCTGGCAACCGCCAAACCCAGACACATCCATCGGATTGCCAGACAGAGAAGCGTGATTGGTCACTCCAGAGAACACGTCTCCACTTCTCTAGAGTCCAGTGGCGGCGTGCTTTACACCACGGCATCCCACGCTTTGCATTGCACTTGGTGATGTAAGGCTTGGATGCAGCTGCTCGGCCATGGAAACCCATTCCATGAAGCTCTCTACGCACTGTTGTTGTGCCAATCTGAAGGCCACACAAAGTTTGGAGGTCTGTAGCTATTGACTCTGCAGACAGTTGGCGACTTCTGCGCACTGTGCGCTTCAGCATGCGCTGACCCCGCTCTGTCATTTTACGTGGCCTACCACTTCCTGGCTGAGTTGCTGTTGTTCCCAGTTGCTTCCACTTTGTTATAATACCAATAACAGGTGACCGTGGAATATATAGTAGCAAGGAAATGTCATGGATGTAATTATTGCACAGGTGACAACCTATCACGGTACCACGCTTGTAGTCACTGAGCTCCTGAGAACGACCCATTCTTTCCCAAATGTTTGTAGAAGCGTCTGCATGCCGAGGTGAGTGATTTTATACACCTGTGGCCATGGAGGTGATTGGAAAACCTGAATCCAATTATTTGGAGGGGCGTCCCAATACTTTTGGCAATATAGTGTATATGTGTGGCAAAAAAGCTCATGTAGAATGTTGCGCAACACGCATTCCGCTTTTTGCATGTTTTCACGTACGCACAAACATGCGTCTTGCTGCTATAAGAAATGAATGCCACCACAACTGTGTTATGCATTTTGCTGTGAACGCACACAAAACCTCTCGCTGTGGCACTTGCAGGTGTGAATAGGGCCTTATTGTGAACTTGAAATGTAAAGGGTATGTAAACCCAAAACCTAAGCCCCTCCTCCACACTCTCAGCCCGTCACTCATAACCAGGCCATTGTGGTATTTGCAGTTTCACAACTGGAGCTTGTCCGGCTCCCTATTACCCCGGCTAATGTCGGGGTATTTATAAGGAAACCGGTCACTGTGTACCATCTGCCCGCATTCTCCTCACACGGCCGCCTCGTACCACTACAAAATGGGCGCCAAAACACTTCTGAGCCCACCGCCCCGCCCACTCTCAGCTCTCGGCGAGGCCTGCGGTCCAGGGGGCAGCCAGCCAATAGAAAGTTGCAGCTGAAAGCGCGGGAACCTGAGTATTAATGCGAATGGTTACCGTGGTTACCGTCGTGTCCAGTCGTCGGGTCTCACCTGGTGTTGCTCGGCCTGACGGGGAATCGTGGCTCCGTCTCTCCGCTCGTAGTAGCTGAGGGTGGGGGGGAAAGGCGGAATAGGGAGGAGGCGGGCAAGAGGGGAGGGGCGTGGCTTTAGTGAGGATAATCCGCCCTCCTCGGGCGTCACTCAGTGACCGGTGTTGGCGTGCTGTCCCCTCAGGGAGTGGTCGGTATGTCCTTAATATATGGCGACGGTCTGCGTTTGTGAAAAGATACCCAGAGAGTTGATACTGAGAGGCTGACATAACTGCTGAATGCCTGACTGTCATGCTGACCCTCCTGCTTCAGTGCCCTGTGTCACTGATCTACACATGTGTCATGCGACAGCAACCCAGGACTGAAGCCAGGGGATCAGCATAAGAGACGGATCGCCTCCTCAGGGAGTTAGGAGCTGTAGTATTGGTATTTCTCTCATGATTAGTTGTTGTCACTGGAGAAATGAGTGTGCCCCTACCCCCTGTCTGTACTCCCTATTGGTCAGGAGGAGCGCATTCACACTATTGTGGTAACATGCATTATTGTACATTACATGCGTTGGTGTGAAGCGGGGGCATGCATAGTGACTGGTGTTCTGATGCATGTGCGAATATTGATCCTGTTGTTGTGCAGTCCATTGCAATGAATGAGCCGCCCTGACCAACACCCCCCCCCCCCCCCTTTCTCTGGGACACCGCTCGGTAGTTGCTTCCACTTTGTTATAATACCAATAACAGGTGACCGTGGAATATATAGTAGCAAGGAAATGTCATGGATGTAATTATTGCACAGGTGACAACCTATCACGGTACCACGCTTGTAGTCACTGAGCTCCTGAGAACGACCCATTCTTTCCCAAATGTTTGTAGAAGCGTCTGCATGCCGAGGTGAGTGATTTTATACACCTGTGGCCATGGAGGTGATTGGAAAACCTGAATCCAATTATTTGGAGGGGCGTCCCAATACTTTTGGCAATATAGTGTATATGTGTGGCAAAAAAGCTCATGTAGAATGTTGCGCAACACGCATTCCGCTTTTTGCATGTTTTCACGTACGCACAAACATGCGTCTTGCTGCTATAAGAAATGAATGCCACCACAACTGTGTTATGCATTTTGCTGTGAACGCACACAAAACCTCTCGCTGTGGCACTTGCAGGTGTGAATAGGGCCTTATTGTGAACTTGAAATGTAAAGGGTATGTAAACCCAAAACCTAAGCCCCTCCTCCACACTCTCAGCCCGTCACTCATAACCAGGCCATTGTGGTATTTGCAGTTTCACAACTGGAGCTTGTCCGGCTCCCTATTACCCCGGCTAATGTCGGGGTATTTATAAGGAAACCGGTCACTGTGTACCATCTGCCCGCATTCTCCTCACACGGCCGCCTCGTACCACTACAAAATGGGCGCCAAAACACTTCTGAGCCCACCGCCCCGCCCACTCTCAGCTCTCGGCGAGGCCTGCGGTCCAGGGGGCAGCCAGCCAATAGAAAGTTGCAGCTGAAAGCGCGGGAACCTGAGTATTAATGCGAATGGTTACCGTGGTTACCGTCGTGTCCAGTCGTCGGGTCTCACCTGGTGTTGCTCGGCCTGACGGGGAATCGTGGCTCCGTCTCTCCGCTCGTAGTAGCTGAGGGTGGGGGGGAAAGGCGGAATAGGGAGGAGGCGGGCAAGAGGGGAGGGGCGTGGCTTTAGTGAGGATAATCCGCCCTCCTCGGGCGTCACTCAGTGACCGGTGTTGGCGTGCTGTCCCCTCAGGGAGTGGTCGGTATGTCCTTAATATATGGCGACGGTCTGCGTTTGTGAAAAGATACCCAGAGAGTTGATACTGAGAGGCTGACATAACTGCTGAATGCCTGACTGTCATGCTGACCCTCCTGCTTCAGTGCCCTGTGTCACTGATCTACACATGTGTCATGCGACAGCAACCCAGGACTGAAGCCAGGGGATCAGCATAAGAGACGGATCGCCTCCTCAGGGAGTTAGGAGCTGTAGTATTGGTATTTCTCTCATGATTAGTTGTTGTCACTGGAGAAATGAGTGTGCCCCTACCCCCTGTCTGTACTCCCTATTGGTCAGGAGGAGCGCATTCATTCTCTCTGCTGCCCCAAGGCCAGGTTCCTCAGTTCGCCCCCCCCCCCACCCCCCCCCCCCCCCCCTTATCTCTGGGGTCAACCTTGGACATTAACGCCTATTAACATGGAGCCCTACATGTGTTTAAAGCAGCGGACTGGTGTGAATAGGGTGTAAGAAACTTATGATCTGTGTATATATCCGTGTACAGAAAAGGGGTGTATAAGACATGTATACATCCGTGTACAGGAAAGGGGTGTATGAGCCATGTATACATCCGTGTACAGAAAAGGGGTGTATAAGCCATGTATACATCCGTGTACAGAAAAGGGGTGTATAAGCCATGTATACATCCGTGTACAGGAAAGGAGTGTATGAGCCATGTATACATCCGTGTACAGAAAAGGGGTGTATAAGCCATGTATACATCCGTGTACAGGAAAGGGGTGTATGAGCCATGTATACATCCGTGTACAGAAAAGGGGTGTATGAGCCATGTATACATCCGTGTACAGGAAAGGGGTGTATGAGCCATGTATACACCCGTGTACAGGAAAGGGGTGTATGAGCCATGTATACACCTGTGTACAGCTGCATACAATCCGTGTTTGGGAAAGGGTTGTATGAGCCGGGTATGGGAATGGGTTGTATGAGCCGAGTATACGTCCGTGTACGGGACAGGGTTGTATGAGCCGTGTATACGTCCGTGTACGGGACAGGGTTGTATGAGCCGAGTATACGTCCGTGTACGGGAAAGGGGTTTCTGAGCCGTGTATAGGTCCTTGTATGGGAAAGGGGTGTATGAGCTGGGTATAGGTCCGTGTACGGGAAAGGGTTGTATGAGCCGTGTATACACCTGTGTATGGGAAAGGGTTGTATGAGCCGGGTATACATCCGTGTACGGGAAAGGTTGTATGAGCCATGTATACGTCCGTGTATGGGAAAGGGGTGTGTGAGCCGTGTATACGTCCGTGTATGGGAAAGGGGTGTCTGAGCCGTGTATACATCTGTGTACAGGAAGGGGCGTATGAGCCGTGTATACATCAGTGTACGGGAAAGGGGTGTCTGAGCCATGTACACATCAGCATTGCTGAGTTGCAGTTTAAAGAGAACCTGTCATCAGGTAACACTTTCCCGGCAGCTCACATATATAAATGATCATTTTCACTTACTGATGCTGCCGTTGATATAGGAACTCGTGATGCCTTTTGTCAGTAACAGCGCTGTAGTTCTCCACACCTCTATGTTCGGGGTCGGCAATCCTGGCACCTCGGGGGGCAGCCATCTGACACTACCTGAAGACTCTTCTGGCTGCTCTGTGCATGGAGCTATGGCAGAATGAGAGAGTCACCGCTCAGTCAATGCGGTATTCACAAACCTGGTCATAGAAACAGTCCGCGGTATCAGTTCAAGGGCTGACTGAGAGACGAAATGTCCACCATATTTCTATTTCCCTGCTGCCTCCTGCAAGCCTTTTCCTCCCCGGCAACATGATTACTGCTCCTGGTCTGGATCAGGCTGCTATTGGGGAAGAATCAGTAAATCCTAAGGAACCTGACGAGTCTTCACAGTCCTTGGAAGAGGGTGAACGCAGAGAGGAACAGTCAAAGGGTAAGCTTCAAAAATATATGCTGCCTGTATAAAGAACAGGCTTCCTAAAGCTATTCACTCCACATGGAAGAACAAGCTCTGCTATCAGTCCAGATTCCAGAGCAGGAAAGGGTACTTTTTTTGCGGTACACATTAAAAGAAACCAGAGATGCACCGATATATCGGCCGAAAATGGCACTTTTGTCATAATGCCGAAAAAATGTTTCCTGCTGATACATCGGCTCATCCGTGATTTCTTTCCTCCCCGCTGGGCGCTGCTCTGTGTCACAGCGGGGAGGAGAGAAAGTGTGGCAGCCGAGCGCGGCGGGAGGAGAGCGCTGTGAGCGGCCGGCGTCTCCTCCCACACCACTCAGCCTCCTATCACAGTCCGGCAGAGCGGTGTGGGGGCGGAGACAGCCCGCACTGTCACAGGAGGCGGAGCTCTCCTCCGTGCACCGTTTGCTCAGCCTCCTGTGACAGCGTGTCAGAGAGGAGAGCAGGTACAAGCAGTCAGGGATCGCTGAGTGTTTGTAGATAATTGAGGACAGTATGTTGACTATATCCTCAATTATGAATGAATGGGAAGTGATCTATATCCCCTCCTGTTCCCCATTCATGATTGTGGTTATAGTAAACATACTTTGTCCTCATGTTATGAATGGACAGGAGCACTCAGTATAGAGGATTCCCGATTATTGATAACAGGTGACACAGAAAAAGAGATTAAGGACTCTGTCCTCAATCTCTTTTTTTTCTATTTTAAAAGGGAAATTTCAGGGGTCTGTTTAGACTCCCAATATTTCCCCGAAGCCCCTAAAAGTAAAGTAAAAAATTAATTAATATAAAAAAATTAAAAATTTATAAAAATAAAGTATTTAAAAAACATTTTCGGTTTCGGCCTGACATTTTTTTAAATTTCGGTTTCGTTTCGGTTTTAAAATTTCCATTTCGGTGCACCTCCTAAAAAAAAAGATTTCTACAGAGTAAGAGGAGCCAGAGAAACTTTTTTTTGTTTTTTTTGTTCCTTGTAGTTTTTAAAGATTTATTTTTAAAACGAAGTTTAAAATCATTGGGACAAATGTCAAAAGCTGTATGCATCGGCGGCCAAGGATTCCAAAAAGATCAATCTGTAATTTGTAGACATGGGGGTTCTGAAGGACCCCTGGGACAAGAAAGCAGAAGCCCTCCTCCAAAAAAAAGGGGAGGCAGACAGACTTAGCGCCTACTTGTTTAGTTTGCTCCCTGGATTTATGTCTGGCTCAGCTATGTTCCCATGTGGAAGCTTGAGCACCAAGGGAACACATATTGGAGTCCCTTCAAGTACTATCTAAAGCAGTGGTTCTCAACCTGTGTAACCTCAGGACCCACATTTGTCCTTGGTCATTGAGTCACGACCCAATTCTCACTGCAATGGAATACATGGCATTACGGTACCAAGC